CTTGACATACCTCGCTTCATCTTCAATTTTTATTTCCTATTATTTTCATTGTTCTTTTGATTACGGTAGTCGAATTTCCGACAACAACAGTGTATTGACAGTAGAGATACATATTATTTTTACTCATTTTAGAATGTTATAAAGCAACTTGATATTGCTACTGTGCCCATGTTTGGGCTCCATTTTCCAAAAACCCATTTTTTTAAAATTTATCTTTAATCACACATTTTTCTACAAAATATTTTTACACATAAATTAAATTTTTATTTCTTTAATTATATATTTTCTAAAAAATAACTATTTCAAAATTTATTTTTCCTAAAAAAAAACAATAAATAAAAAAAATAAAAAAGGGGTCAAACAGTGGCTATATATTGGGACCAATAGACAACGTTGGGACTTCCCTTGTAAAGCCCAAAAGAAAATAAGAAAAAATTAAAAAAACGAAAGAGAGCCAGTAGCTCTGCTCCGGAAGGTCGTGTTGGTTCGTTCGTGGGTTTTGCTGCTATTCTAGGGTTTGAAGATTTGTTTTTCCTTCCTGAATAGCACAAACAATCGTAAGTCTCTCTCCATCTAACTTTATATCTTCGTCTTTGATATCTATTGTTTCCATGGTGCCTAGATTTTTGAATTGCAATTAAAAGTTCTCTCCTTTTCCGTGAAGAGATCTGATAAAGTTTTTTTTTTGCTTTTTCCTTCCCCACAAACGATTCAGATAAAAAGATGGAAGAAGAACTAGCGGCTGCTGGGAAAAGGCTTCTTCAGCCTCCAGAATCTGTTGATGAACTCCTGTCTTTGCTTGATGTGAGCCCTAACATATATCTTGTCGATTTCTGGATCCACAACAGTGCTTGGTTTCTTATTTCTGTTAAAAAATAGTTTTTGACCTATTATTACTGTTACAATGTTATGCTTAATTTCTTGTTCTCAGTGAATAATTTCAACAGAACACTCAGGGCGTGTTAGGTAGAGATTAAAATTGGCTAGTCAACAATAACGACTAGTTTTTGAATTTTAATTGGATTTTAATCACTCCCAAACACGCTCTTAATTCTACGGGAGTTCATTCTGACCAATTGCTTCTTCTATTATCACGCATTGCATCTTCTCTCCCATTATCATTTTTTATTGTAGTACAGTTAATATTTTTCTAAGTAGAGTTTCAGGAATCAACTACTGATATGAAACCCACTCAGTGCTTTGAACTAAATCATTCGTTGACATGCTGACATAATTGCTGATCGTGTCAATAATAGAACTCGTTACTTGCATTTTATCATCAATTTTCTGAACGAGTCCGTTTCCTATTTTACATGTATGCAAGTTTTTTATTTTTGCAAATTATTTATACTGTCCATAAATTTTTCATATTGGAACAAAATGTGGTCAAATTATCTCTGCTAGTCTATTAGCTGATTGACATATTGCAATAATCCTTTCTCCTCTTTTTTCTGCTTCAAGCAAACTGAGGATAATCTCTCAAAAGTGGAGCAGTCACCTGGTAAATCCATGCAAGCTGCTCTTTCTCCATTACTGAAGGCATTGGTTGCAGATGAGCTTTTGAAGCATTCAGATATTGATGTCAAAGTTGCAGTAGCTTCTTGCATAAATGAAATAACTAGAATTACTGCACCAGATGCTCCATATGATGATGACAGAATGAAGGTGCCGAGAGTTCCACTTGCATTCTCTTTTTCGCCTCTTGATGGGCCTGCATAACACTTCATTTGTTTATAATGCAGGATATCTTCCAATTGATTGTATCATCCTTTGAACATTTATATGACAAATCCAGCAGATCGTATGCTAAGAGGGCCATGATACTGGAAACTGTGTCCAAAGTGAGGTCCTGCGTCATCATGTTGGACCTAGAATGTGATCAAATGATCATTGAGATGTTCCAACATTTCCTTAAAGCCATAAGGTAGGAATTTTTACGAAACTGTGCTTAGTAGTTACAATTCTAATGCAGCTTTTGTCGCCAATATAATGTCCTTATTTTGCTATGTTAGCTATTCTATTATCAAAGCTTATAGTGATTTTTAGTCTTTGTTTTTCCCCTTCGTTTTTGAGAGCGTTATCTGGCTCCAAGTCACTTTCTTTGTTTTTATCTTTTAAGTATGAGAGATAACATAATCACTTTCTTTGTTAGACTATCTTTATGTTTAAAAAAGATCAGACAAGCGAGAAAGCTTATAATGTACAATTTCTCATTTTCTACATTCCCAGATGGAGAGAAAATAGATCCATTTGATATGAAATCTTTTACAAACAGAATTTGATGATTTTTTTATCTTTCGTTCAAGACTGTAGTGGAGGTTTGGAATCCAAAATATGCATAGAAGGCCTATTTTCTAGGCAAGGGCAATGAAGAATACATTCAGAAGAAATAAGCAAAATCCATGGCAGTAAAAGAAATCAGAACCCTTGTGAATATTAGTTTTAAGTCTCTTTGTGTGCGCACCAAGTTGTGAAGATTTTGGAATTTTTTCCGTAGATATTAGGAAGCAATGACAAGTTTCTGGTGCCGGCGAGTTAGTGTTCGACATGTTTTGACACCAACATGCCTTGACAAGTGTTGGAAATGCTAGGTGATGTGTCAAAATTTATGAGCTGATTTTGTACTGCTTGACATGCAGTTATCTCTTAAAATTAATCGATGGAAAACTACTTGGTTTGTTGCCGGTGGCAGAGTTGGGCTATTCCATTGCCAGTGCAGGAGGATGGCGTTGGCTGCGTAAGAGGGGGGTTCTAAACCCTAGAAGAGGAAAACACACTTTCCTTTTTTTTTACTTGCCAAACAAATCCTTTTGTTTTATAAAAAAAGGGTTTTACATATTAAATGAAATTGACTTATGACTAAAGAAATTGACAATGAATAATGTAATTACCTTTTAGCTAATGAATAAAACAACAGGCCAGTAAACCAATCTGCTTTTTCAAAACTTCACCTTTTAAGCAATAAATTACCATTTAATCCCTAACTTTACAATGACAATTGTTAGGTCTAGCTGATTGATCTGCAAACTCCCTCCCGAATTTTTGATTTTAGTTTTCGCAATAAGATCCAAAGAAAATGATTGAAATCATACCATTCACCAGTTTCGTCATATGGTGATATAAATGGAACTTTATATCGTTTAAACTTTAAATCATCAGTTTAAAAATTTGAAGTGTACATACTTAGGTGGAGGCTTGGAGCTGTATATGGTTTACTGACTTGAGCATTCCGCCTTCCCCTCCCTCTCCACCTCCCCCCATGTATAACTAGGTTGGATGGTTTACAATTGTTTGTTGGACTAAAATATTGGTTTTAAACGTGCATTAAAGTTTTCATATTTTTATGGAAGTGTTCTTGTACTCTGTTTCTGCTACTCATTTTTGTCATTGATAAACTTCTTATTAGAAAGAAAAATATATTAATTTTATTTTGTGGCTCTCAGTTACTCATCATATATATTTTATTCTCTTTCAACTGCTGACATATTGCTTTTGTGAAACGTTCAGGGATTATCATCCGGAAAATATCTTCTCTTCCATGGAGACAATTATGACTCTTGTATTTGAAGAAAGTGAAGATATCTCTCCAGAACTGCTTACCATCCTTTTGGCCAGCGTGAAAAGGAACAGCGAGGTCAATTTTCCTGGCATTTACTTTAAAACTTGTTATCTTTTCTATTTTTTACATTTCTGATAAACATTATGCTTCCAGGAACTTCTGCCAGTTGCAATAAAATTGGGGGAGAGAGTATTTGAGAAGTGTGGGGCCAAGCTTAAGCCTTACCTCACACGAATTGTAAAATCTTTGGCGATTTCTTTGGATGATTATAGTGAGGTTGTCGCTTCTATCTGCAAAGAGGCTGATGGTCCTGTTGGTCATAGCAGCGACAGTACCCATGGCGACCAGTTGGTGTGTTTCCGTATACTTATAATCGATTTCAGATATTTTGTATCTTTAGACTAAGCAGGAATTACTTTCCTCGTTATGCTTCTGGTACAAGCATTGCTAAGCTCATGTAGTTATTGTTACCATGACATCTTCTGTTTCTTTTACATTTCTAAGTCGAGTTTCACATTGTTATTCTTGTCTTGCAAGAATGCGGGTCTTTTTCTTTCTATACCTTCCTTTTCTGAGTTCTATTTACTGAATTCTCCACATTGCTTTATTTCTTTTAATAGTAATATAATAGAAGCCATTATAGTATTTTTCTGCACCTTATGCTACAACAATTGTGGTGCATTTGCTTCTGTGCTGAAAAGAATGAAATTTATGTTGCAGTTGAATTTTGTTTTTATGGCATTTGCTATAGATTCTGACATCCTAAAACTAGTGTTGTTTTGCAATAGATCTCAGTTTGATGCTTTTGAATAATATATTTTGCTATCATCTTTTACCATTTATATTTGAACTTTTAGTATTTTGTCCTGACTTGGTAAGTTGACGATACAAGGTTATTGAGAAGAAGTCTGCTAGTGACCCTTCAGATCAGGTTTTGGCAACCCAGGCACGTTACTGAATTAATTTATTCCTTTTCAATTTGCTATAATTTCTGCTCCCTTTTGTTGTAATTATGATGCCCATCTGCCAAAGTTGTGAATTACATTTTTTTCGTGATTTCCTTGTTTTTAGCCTTCTTTTCCATGTTTGTGATCTGTACGTGTCATACTTCATCTCAGTAATAATCACTTTACCATTTGAATTCGAGCTTTTAGTATTTTGCCCTGACTTAGTAATTTGATAATACAAGGTTACTGAGAGGAATTCTGCTAGTGACTCTCCAGATCATGCTCTGGCAACTCAGGCAAGCTACTGAATTATTTTATTCCTTTTCAAATTGCTATAATTTCTGCTCCCTTTTGTTGCAGCAACAATACCTGTCTGCTAAATTTGTGAATTACATTTTTTTCTTCGTGATTTCCTTGTTGTTAGCCTTCTTTTTCGTGTTTGTGATCTGTACACGTGTCATACTTCATCTCAGTAATAATCACTTTACCATTAGAATTCGAGCTTTTAGTATTTTGTCCTGACTTAGTAAGTTGATGATACAAGGTTACTGAGAGGAGTTCTGCTGGTGACTCTCCAGATCTGGCTGTGGCAACTCAGGCAAGCTACATAATTATTTTATTTCTTTTCAAATTGCTATAATTTCTTTCCCCTTTTGTTGGTAGCTACAATTTCCTTCTGCCAAACTTGCGAATAAAAAAATAAAACTGTTTTTTTCATGATTCCCTTGTTGTAAGCCTTCTTTAGCCGTTTGTGCTATTTACACGTCATATTCCTCCATCTCAATAATGATCACTTTCCAGGAATCCATGTTTCATGCATATTATGTACAGATGAATTTTAAACTTCATCTTCCACAGTACTGTTGTCTTATGTTATTCTTCTCTTTTTCCATTCTGAAGAAAAATCATAGGGAAAATAGTAAGTGTAAAAAGTGATTTTGTAAAATAGTAAGTGTTAAGAAAAAAAAAGGAAAAAAAAATACCCTAGTTAAGCTGTCAGTTCAACTCTTTTTTCAAATGATGATAGCCCCTCTCCGGTTCACTACTGCATTTATTACAGTTGATTTCTCTCTTAATGAATCTGACACACTAGAAGCAATTAGCAGTTGAATTCTGCTTTGCCACCAACCATATGCCATACGTCACCACTCACCACCACCACCACCACCACCACCACCGCCGCCGGCCCTCAAATTTTGTGTCTAAAAATGTCTTACCACTTGAACCGCTGCAGCCAAGGACTCAATCTTAGACCCAAGAGACATCAATAATTTAGTCCGCAGCCTCCAAGATCCCAACAACCATTGGCTGAACAACAGTTACCAGATTTAAACTAATGGAGTTTTCTATTCAATATTCAATCTTGAATTTCTTGGTGGTGAGTGAGATTTGTGTCTATCGAAAAAGGTCACCATGTTCTTAGGATCTTCATTCATCCTGTTGCTTCATCTTCTTTTCTTTAAATAATAACGAAGATGAGCAACAGCTTTGATTTGCAGATATCTGAGTGAAATGATGTAAATAAATGAAAGAGATGGGAGTGGTTAGAGAAATCCAGACTAAGTTAAGGATCTGGCTTATGAACCTTCAATACAAAATGTGTCAATGGAACAAATTATATGACTTGTACAAGTCACTGGAACAAAATGTACCATCCTCATATTGAAGGGGAATACAATAATGTTCCAAAACTCTGCTTGTATGGTTCTCATATTATTTCTCTCGTCTTTTGCTCCCCTGAAATGCTGTAAATTTATATATTTGATGAGGCAGTAATAATTTAGACCAAAAAGTTCAGATGATTACTTAGATATGCGAATTGAGTATTATTGGTATATAGATCTGTAAATGCTTTGGCTTTGTCCGAACAGGTGGCTAAAGATGTTACAGAAGAGACAAGTTCCAAAGAACAAAATCCCAATGTGAAGAGTTCACACAAGGCAATTGTGAGTAATGGTGTTAGCGAGCTTGGAAATGGAGGAATTCTGACCAGTGCAGATTTTAAGAAGGAAGAAGCCCTTGATGATAGATTGACATCCAAGACCGAATCTGATGATTTGGCTGCTGGAAAACCAATTAGTTCAGAGCCTAAGCCTGAGCAAGCTTCTAAGGAAAGAGGAAGAGAACCTAACTGTTCAAATAATTTAATAGAAACTTCTGATATTGTTGATGGTGAAAAAGAAACGAAGCAAGTGCTGGATCAGCGAGACAGTGAGGACAAGGATTTCCATGCTCCCCCTGGTGGGGCATCTCTTGAGACAGCAAAGTCTTTGGATAAAGTAAAAGAGATGGAGAATGACCTGCCTCCATCAAATGCATCTGAGAGAGAGGCTCTAAGTGTTGCGTCTCCATCTCCAACTGCCAAACTTCTTGACAAGAGTCGCCCTAAGAAGGGTGGTCGGAAAAAACAGAAAGAAAACTTGATTAAAGAAAAGAGAGTGTCTGATGATGATGCTTCTGACAAGGCATTTGATGGGGCAAGTGACTCAGAAGCAAAGAAGAGGAGGCGCTTAGGAAGAAAAGAACCTGCTGAGATTTCTAATGAGAATCAAGTGTTGTCTGAGGAAGATGCATGCAAAGATGGTGGCCCCACAAGTCATTTAGAGGAAAAATTGCCAAATGAGACAGATAAACCAGTGGGTTCCAATAATAGAAAGGAGGATGGATCCTCATCAAAGAAGGAATATGACATCAAGCGTAAGCGTGGGCATGGACGTGGACGTGTAAAAGCTGGAGTAGAGAAAGATGTGCAGAAATCTTCTGCAAAAGATGATGCCAGGGTAAATCAGATTTTCTATAAAACGTCGTCTTAATTCTCTGCTACTGCTACTTCTCCCAATCCGTGTTATTTAGTTCATCTAACTGTTTTCTTTACCGGCTTTTTAAAGCACATGGTTGCTTCCCCGAGGTCTCCTAGAAAATCAACTAAAGACGAAGGCAACCAGGAAGAAACCCCAAGGATGAGTAGCAAGAGGAAGGGTACTCCAAGCACTGACAAAGTAAGTAGTTGCAGATTCTTGAGATACAACTCGAATGTTATCTAATGTCGGGCATTGCCATCACATCACATTTTCTGTTGATTGATGATTGATTTCATTTGCAGTTCTTATTTTTTTCTAGTATTTAACTCACAGTGTCACACCTTTGATGCCACACATAGATTAAATTACTTCAGATTTTACAGTTACCTATTACATCTTTTTCCATATACATATAGTAGAAATAAAAAAGTTGACATGAAGTTCGTCCATTTCTTCTCACATTATTTCGATTGTTTTTAATAAATATATATTTTTTGTGCATTTTATATCCCCAAAATTGCAGAATGGGACTTCCCATGTTTATGATGTGTATCATCCTTCGAGTGTCAGCTACACAAAGTACAAAAACATAGGCCATCCCACGTGGCATGTAGGATGGTCTCAAACGGACGATTTATTCTTGACCCGTTTAGAGCAACATGAAATCTTAGGACTTTTAGAGCCAATTAACATGCATTTTGCATGCCTTCACACTATATTTTAATTTCTTTCAAGTATGTTATCTAATTAATTTGTTGTTTATGTTAGGCATCTGGGACTACAGAGTATGGTGAGAATTTGGTTGGTTCAAAAGTGAAAATTTGGTGGCCAAAAGATCGCATGTAAGTGCTTTTCTTACATTTTTGTGTTGTATTAAAGTAGTTAATAAGAGGAGCTTCTCTGCTGCCTTTCTTCTCCTACTGCAGCAATATTAAGATGCTTTCAACTGGGCGTTGTCAGGTTGAGGTGTAATGCCTTTGTTATAGTCAGTGAAAGAATATTATCAGAACATGCATGTGTAAATCTGTCTTAAAAATGTCATTTTTCCTGCTTTCAACTGTCTCCTAGACTTGCCTTTAGGTTATTTTGTCTATAACTTGCCCTAGTAGAGGAAGATGAATGTGTTCTGCTTGTGATTGGTAATGGTGCTTTATTAATTTCAGGTTTTATGAAGGCGTTGTTGATTCTTTTGATTCTGTCAGAAAGAAGCACAAGGTCAGTGTAATATCCAGGTTCTGCAGTTTAATAGCTTCTATTTGTTTTGCATGTGAAATTTGTTCTAATATATATTGTTGCTTTTATATTATACAGATATTGTACCAAGATGGAGATGAAGAAATATTATATCTTAAAAATGAGAAGTGGGAATTTGTTGAAGATGGTTCCGTGGTGGATGCAGTAAGTACCTTTTTCATTTTATTACAGTACCTCACACTTCTTGGTTTTCTATATCTTTGCTACCCATTTATTGGCAGGGGCAACCAGTTGAACGTGCAAGTGCTGATACTCCCTCTGAAATGTAAGTGTTGTGACCCTCGGCTACTTTCTTTAATGATATTTTATTGTCAAGAACTTCATAATTTGCTTAATGGTAATTTGAAAAATGTATGTATTTGAAAGCACATCTTGAGTCTAAAAGAATATCATCATATACCCAGTTTGTTAGATTATGGACATGACTATTTGCTTGAATTTTTAGATAAAAAGTTGGGTTGATTGTAATTCAAGTTCCTTTTTAATGTGTGAAGTTACATTAGTTAGTGAAAATTACCTGTGTTAGTACTCTCGGGAGCTGAGTGGCCTGAAATAGCTCTTTCTCCTCCCTTGTTCCTTTCCCATACTACTTCGTTTGTCCCCATACATCAATGAACTATTAACTAGTTTCTTTAAGCACATAAGTATTTGTTTTGAACACATACACGTCAATCCATGATATGTCAAATTTATCTGTAACACAGACACTAAAAGCTTGAATATCACTTGAAACATGATTATTACAATTATACAAGCTTAGTTTAGGAACTAAACTTCTGAATGCAATAAGCCCTGTCGTAGATAGGTAATATGATACGAGCGGGAGCAGTATTTAAGAAGTTTTGATTTCCCTATTTATGAATTTATCTTCTTGGAGAAAAATGAGAAGTGACATGACAGTTCAGTTGGAAGGCTGCAAAGTAATTTGATTTCAGAGGTTGATATTCTGCCTCCTTCTATCAGGAAAACAAAGAAAGCTAAAACAAATCCTGAAGCATCAAGTAATGATGGAAAGGCGAAGATTTCTCATAAAAGGTTTGGTATTTTCTAGTCAGTTTTTCATGGTATCTGTTACATCTTTTATTGAAGTACAGTGTGTTACAAAATGATTTCTGATGTATCTGCATCCTCCAGTAAACTGAAAAACACCTCAACAACTTCTGGCCGTAAATCTAAGCATGATGCCAAAGCTGACCTCAAGTCTGATGATGACATCTCAAGTTCTGGGGGTAAATCTTTTTATGATTCGCCAAAAGCATCAGGCAGATCTAAAGATGTTGATACAGTGAAGACTTCTGGTCATTCTAAGCAAGACACACAAAAGACTTCCAAGGCTAAGGACAAAAGTCCGCGAAGTTCCCATACAGTTGGTGCTAATGGTAAAGGCAAGACAAAGTCCAGTCTGTCGAAGTTCTTGAAAGAAAGTGATCATGTAAAGGAGAAAACAACCAATACTGGGAAAATGGCAGAAATCAAGAAGGGAAAATCGCAAGATACATCCACACCCCCAGTAAGCGAGACAAAGACTACTGGGAAGAAGCGTCGAAGAGGAGTTGCAACTTGATGGAACCATCTGTGAATTTGTCACATCTGCACTCATAAGCTTCTTGTCTATTGTATAATCTATACCATCATTGTAGTTTTTCTTAGGGCTGGAAGTTAAATTAGGTGTGCATTTCACAACTTGCATCTAGAGTATTTTATTTTTGTTCTTTCAGTTATTTAGAAGCAGGTTAAAGTTGGTCTTGTAGTCATGTTTGATAGATAGTTGGTCTTGTAGTCATGTTTGATAGATAGAGTTTGTGCTGATAAATACTCACATTTCGTTGGTAGGATGTAAAGCGTATTGATGGGAAAATTGCATGAAGGTTTCCCAAATTTTGGTGGCAAATGTTTTTCACTTTTTAATCTCTTTCGTGACAAAAGATAAATTCTCACAATGTTTGAGTGAGGAGCCATCTTCACGAGTTCTTTGAGATCGATGGCTCGTTTGACATCATTTTTGAGAAGTTCGTTTGATAAATTTTATGAAAGTAAACTGATTCAATATGACTTTCTTAATAAAATAATATTTTCTATCACATCAATAACTTTTTCTTTTTTTTCAACTACATATTTCTCATCACATCAATAGTGAAAGTGCATTCTTTTTCAAAAAATGTGCACCAAACGGGGGCTTAGTCGACCAAATAATTAACATAGACCATAATTTTGACTCATTCTAAAAGGATAAAATTGTAAATTTATTTTTTTAAATAAAAAGCACAATTAAAATATATAAATTATTAAATTTACAAAAATAAATCAAAGAAAAAAGTTTTCCTCCTCCTCCTCCTCCTCTTCTTCTCCCTACCCCATCCCCATTTCCACACACCAAAACCAAATCTAAAAGCTATCATCACAATCATCCTCCACTACCATAGCCTCTGGCTCTAGCACATCAAAAGAGGAAATTTTTAACTGCGTTACGATGAATGCTCAAATTGTGAAGTGAAGGCAGTGTTTGAAGGCACGTCCTGAAAACCCATCCCCCACCTTCCATTCCGGCATAATCCTTGAACACATCCTCAAAATCGAGCACCACCACAAGGTTTTTGGATAAGTTTTGAGTACTGCTAATTTGATTATTTGTTGAATTTCGTGTCTTCTCCGGCGAGCCCTTCATGCACTCGCCTTACATGAATTCGGCTAGCCCTTCTCCTCTTCTTCTTCTTCAGTAGGTGGTGATGAAGTGGGCTCTTGTGAGATTATGGTGGTGGTGGTGTTAGTAGGTTCTTGTTGTGACTGTAGCTTTGACGATGGTGTTCCAATCTCTTTGGTCGGGGTAATTGTAATAATGGGTGGGATGTGGTGTATTAGTGGTAATCTCTTGCTCCGTTTCAACGGTGGGAGTTTGTTGTGCAGTTGCTATTGCAACTTTTTTACCAATAGCGACGATGATGTAGACGTTAGATGGGTGCGATGACATCAACTACTGCTGTTACTATTGGTGGTTTTGGGGTAAAGGGTTGGGGAAGAAGGGAGGATGGTGGGTGGTTTTTGGCTTTTAAATTTAATTATTTATTAAAATATTATTTTGTTGAAAAAATGTAAAGCTATAATTTTATCTTTTTAGAATTAGTCAAATTATGTTCAATATTAATTGTTTGGTCAACTAACAGTTTCCTTCCATTTGGACTTCAATTGCGACATTTTAAAAGACTTGGTACCGTGGATAACACAAATGCAATGTTTAGACAAAGTCTGTTATTAAATGAAAAGTTTGGTATCGCGACTGTAATTTTCAGTAAAAATAAACACACATGGAGAGAATAATCTTTTGTTATATAGAAGTCAATAATTAATTTTAAGCTTATTTTTATGAAATTCGTAATTTTGTAACTAGGCCATATATTTCATCGATGTTTATTAAAATATGCTAAAAATTTAATTTTTAACCCCCAGCTCATGCTTCTCTCACTTGGCTTTACTGCCATGAGCCTGTTGGTTCGTTTCCGAGCTTTGCTGCTATTCTAGGGTTTCCTTACACAATAGCGCAAATTATTGTAAATTTCTCTCCATCCAATTCTACATGTTCGTCTTTGACATCTATTGTTTCGATGGTGCCAAGGTTTTTTAATTGAAACTAAAAGTTTCCAATTTTTCTGCGGAGTGATTTGATAAATTTTGTCCCGAATCGATGTCGAGTTCCGATAAAACGATGGAAGAACAGCTGAAGGCTGCTGGGAACAGGCTTCTTCAGCCTCCGGATTCTCTTGATAAACTCCTGCCTTTACTTGATGTAAGCCCTAACAATAGTCTTTTCGATTTTTTGATGCGCACAGTTATCTATTCCTTGTTTTTGTTAAATAAATTGGGTTTTTTGGTTTAATTTGAATAAATAAACGGAAAGCCTGATACTTACAAATTATTTCAGTACATATATTTACAAAGTGGAAGAAAATGTTGGTATTATTCTGTCTTATGGCTTTTTATAATCTTTTCTCCTCTGTGTTCTGTTTCTAGCAAATTGAGGATCTTCTCTCAAAAGTGGAGCAGTCGCCGGTGAAATCCATCCAAGCTGCTCTTTCCCCACTAATGAAGGCGTTGGTTGCGGATGAGCTTTTGAAGCATTCAGATGTTGATGTAAAAGTTGCAGTTGCTTCTTGCATAAGTGAAATTACGAGAATTACTGCACCAGATGCTCCATACGATGATGAGAAAATGAAGGTGAGGTGCATATACTTCCACTTGCATTCTCTTTTTTGCCTCTTGTTTGCTGTCTGTATAACATTTCATTTGGCTATAATGCAGGATATCTTTCAATTGGTTGTATCATCTTTTGAACATTTATCTGACCAATCCAGTAGATCGTATGCTAAGAGGACCATGATACTTGAAACTGTGTCCAAAGTTAGGTCCTGCGTCATCATGTTGGATCTAGAATGTGATCAATTGATAACTGAGATGTTTCAACATTTCTTTAAAGCCATAAGGTAGGATTTCTTATGAATTTCTGCTATGTAGTTCTTGTCCTGCTGTTGCTAATGTAATGCCCTTGTTTTGCAATTTTATCTCTTCTTTTGTCACGGATTACTTTAATCTTTGAACCCAAGACAGAATGACTGATATACACGGACTTGATCTCTTTTATCCTCTTCAATTTTTATAATAATGTATGGTTCTAAGTTATCCCAAAATTTGAAGAAATTCTCAAGCTTTGCTAATTATTTTTGTTGTTGTCAAAATAGAAGGTGGAGATTCTTATGCTTTTGATTCATTTGTGTGCTTTTCTTTTTTGAGAAGAGCAATCTTTAATCTGTGGCCTCTAGTTCACATCTCAACATTTATTTACTTTGATGCATGTATCACCAGCAAATTTTAAGGCACAATTGATGTGTTCTAGTGCGTACAGAAGCTTATGGTTATATGACTCTTAGTATGTTACTTGGCCATGCTGTATATAAAAATATACGCCCCCTATTGGCTAGCTATGAATGCTTAAAATTACAATAATGCTATCATCCCTTAAAACCTCGTTGATACATTTGTTTATTCTTGTTTTCCATTTTTCTCTTGGAAAGAATTTGTACATCTTGTGCTTTACATGCATTTATTTGTAAGGGTGGGATATAACTAATCACTTTCTTCAATATGTTCTCTATGTTTAACAAGTGAATCAGCCATTCGGGAAAATTATTGATGTATGATTTTTCATTTTATGCATTTTCTGATGAAGAGAAGATAGATACATTTTGTAGGCAAAGTGTTATAAAACAAAAAAAATGATGGTTTCCTTATCTTTCATCCATCAATTTATTGAAGGTTTGGGATATGTATATATGTTTCGTAGGGCAATTCTTTTACTGAGAACAATGAAGATAATGATTCAAACGTACATTTATACGGAAATCTTATGAAAAGAATAATGATTGAAATTTCAACATATGCCATTTTAGTAGCTATCTCATGGTGAAATAAATTGCACCTTATGACATTTAAATCATTAGTTTAAATTTTTTATTACATGCGCATGTGGCGTTGCATATGATTAATTGCCTTGAGCCCTTTTTTAAACTGGCTTAAATAATTTATTGTTGTTTGTTTGAATAAAATATTGTTTTGAAATGTGCATTACATTTGTCATATTTTTATGTATTGGTGGAAGCGATGTTGTCCATTTCTGCGACTCATTTATATCATTAATTAATTTTTTATTTTAAAAAAATATGTTAATTTTACTATGCAACTTATCTTTATTTATGATATGTTCCAAAGAGATGGGCTTGTATTCTCTCTCAACTGCTGACATATTGCTTGTGGAGCTTCCAGAGATTATCATCCAGAGAATATCTTCACATCCATGGAGACAATTATGACTGTTGTATTAGATGAAAGTGAAGCTATCTCTCCAGAACTGCTTACCATCCTTTTGGCTAGTGTGAAAAGGAACAATGAGGTAAATTTTCCTTACATTTTTTTTAATAATAATTTTAATCTTTTGTATTTCTCATTGCTAATAAACATTCTGGTTCCAGGAGTTTCTGCCAGTTTCGACGAAATTGGGGGAGAGAGTATTTGAGAGATGTTCAGTCAAGCTTAAACCTTACCTGATACGAAGTTTAAAATCTTCGGGGATTTCTTTGGATGATTATAGTGAGGTTGTCACTTCTGTGTGCAAATGGACTGGTGGTCCTACCGGTCATAATAGTGACAGTACCTGTGTCGACCAGTCGGTATGCTTTCTTTTATTTACAACTAATTGTTATTTTTGCCAATGGTGTAAATATTGTTAGCATGGAAACCCTTTCAAAAAAAAAAAAAAATTGTTAGCATGGAAACAACTGTTTCTTTCTTGACATACTTCAGTCCAGCTTCAAGTTCTTCTTCTCATGCAACAGTATGATCCTAGTGCTTCCTTCATTCTATACCTTCTTCCCTTTTCTGAGTTTTGTTTACGTAACTCTCCACATTGCTTTATTTTGTTTATTAGAAATAGAAGCTATTATAGTATTTTATTGCACTGTATTCTATTAATGATTGTGGTATACTTGCTTAAGTGCCGAGAAGCATGGCATTTCTGTGGCAGTTGAAAGTGGTTTGTTTTGGCATTGCTTAAGATTTTGACCTGTATGGCTACGTGTACTGTATCATCTTTTGTTTTGGGACTTGTACAAGTCATGGAACAAAAAGTACTAGCCTGTATTGAATGGGAATTCGATAGTCTTGCAATCCCCACTTATATGGTTCTGAACTTATTTTACTATCTTCTGTGGTTCTTCCCTGAAGTGCTGGCAGTTTCTCTATTAAATTCGGGATAAGTTATGATTTGAACCTGATTGTTGTATGAGCAGGTGGCAATAGATGTTGCCGGCGGGACAAGTCTTGAAGAAGAAAATCCCGATGTCAAAGTATTGCCCAAGTCAATTTTGAGTAATGGCGTCAACGAGACTGGTAATGGAGTAATTTTGACTGATGTAGATTTCAAAAAGGCAGGATCTTTTGATGCTAAATTGACATCCGAGACCGAGTCTGATGATTTGGCTGCTCAAAAACAAACGAATTCAGAGTCTAATCCAGAGCAAGCTGCTGAGCAAAGAGGAAAAAGACCTTGCTCTTCAAATAATTCAACGGAAATTTCTGGTATTGGTGACAACGAAAGAGGAGTGGAGCAACTGCCAGTTCACCTAGGCAGTCGGGGTAAAGATGTGGAAACCGTTGAGGCTGAAAAACCATTGGATAAAGTAAAAGAGACCAGGATTCAGCTTTCTCTGTCAAAAGCATCTGAGAGAAAAGATGTAAATGTTGCATTTCCATCTCCAACTGGCATTCTTCCTGACGAGAGTCGTCCAAAGAAGGCTGGTCGGCCAAAAAAGAAAGAGATCTTGGTTAAAAACAAGAGAGTATCTGTTGATGCTGCATCTAAGAAGGCATCTGATGGAGCAAGTGATTCAGAAATGAAGAAGCACAGGCGCTTTGGAAAACGAGAACCTGCTGAGATTCCTGAGAATCAAGTGTTGGCTGAGGAAGATACACGTGAAGATAGCACCACAAGTCAGTCAGAAGCAAACTCGCCAAATCAGATAGATGATAAAGTGGGTGCTAATAATGAAATGAAGGCTGTATCCTCATCAAAGAATGCAGATGTCAAAAAGCGTGAGCATGTAAAAGCTAGAGTAGATAAAGATAAATTGAAATCCTCTGCCAAAGATGATGCCAAAGTAATTCAGATTTTCTCTAATTTGCTGTCTTGTTTCTCTGTTACTTCTGTTGATCACTGTGTTATTTAGTCCTAAAGCTATTCTTTGTCACCTTTTCTAATAGGACATGGTTGCTTCTCTGAGCTCTCCAAAAAAATCAACTAATGTTGAAAACAATCGGGAAGAAACTCCAAGAATGAGTACCAAGAGAAAGGGTACTCCAGGCACAGACAAAGTAAGTACTTGCCTACCATTGATATGACTCATTTCATCAACTACCAGGCATTATGTTACATTTTTTGTTTGACTGTTTGCATGTTCAATTTTTTATTCTATCTTTTATTCAGCTTCTTAATTTACCACACTTCTATTTTTATTTTTCAAAAGTTAATTTCCTTTCCTTTTGCACTAGATGATGGATGCCTATATGCCTCAACAAGGCATCACTGTTAGGCAGTATTAGCAAATGACTAACACTGAGGGTTAGCAAGAGAACCATCCAGTTCTCGTACCTAGTTAGGCAACTATTTTAGCCAATATTTTTGCAAGTGAATGGATGCGTCCTGTATTGTTCTTTTCTAACTTGTTTTCACAGAAAAAAAATTCTGGATTTGAGTTTTCCTTGGATTCTGTCAAGAATGTTATGTTTGTCTTTTACAAGCTTTTATATATGCAATCTGTTTCTTAAACCTTCTCTTTTCTTTCTCCCGGGTATTAGTTGGTCCATTTTGTATGTATTCATCTCCAACTCGGTAACACATAACAAGTTATGGAATTAAGTTCTTCCTCCTGGGTTTTATAGTGATTAGTTGCTCCATTTTGTATTTGTTCATCTCTATCTCGTTAACATGGAACAAGTTATGAAATTAAGTGCTCTCTGGCATATTGTCAACAATGTACCATTCCAGTTGCCACCACTTACCTCCAATTTCACACTCAAAAGCTCCAGAACTGTGAAGGAGTTTTCAGAAAGTAGCAGACACGTTAAATAAAATGCTTTAGATTTTTCTTTTGAAGAGTGGCTAGATACTGTGTCAAGACTGTACTACTAGCACCAACAAAATAAAAATATTCATGTATCAAAAATTACATAGAGTAGATATAAAACAAATTCAGGGCATTGTCCCTCGTGTCGGATATTAAAAAGATCTAGGCTATGTTGTGGAATTTTAAAAACTCACATGAGCACAAATGTGTTGGAAAACAAAAAAAGTAAGCAACGGAGAATCAAAACGAAACAATTAACACTTCAAACACTGATCACGGAATAACTAAACTAACTTCTAACTACAAGAAATACATGATATTTAAGATGAAAGAACTTTCAATTTCATTAGTCCCAGAAAGAACAAACTATAAACATTTAAGCGCATATATTGAATTAAAACAATAAAACGATAATCACTTGGTTAAACAAAGTTTCTTCATCTACTAAGTAAATTAAAACGTCATAATAAAATAGAAGACATAAAATAGATAGAAACGACCACAGATCAAGAATCTTGAATAGCTTTTGAGTCTTACGTTCGTCTTATCTTTTTCATCACCCGTGTGACTGCTACCTTTTTTCTGCATTTTTGCTTCTGTCACTGCGCCTGTATTCTTTCTGTTCACGTGTTTTTTTTATAATTGCATGGTTTCAGAGTTGCTTCCCGAATTTTGCTTCTTTCGCTTGTTTCCAATTGCGCATTAATGATGGTCTGAAGAGAACCTGCTGCTTTCTTTTTGTGTGCCTTTTTTTCAGTTATTTCTTTGCAGACCGTGCACGTGCACAAGTCTCAGAATTCTTTTCAATTTATTTCCTTTCAAGATCAACCAAATAAGGGAAATTTGCACTCTTCATCCCCAGCAAATGAGTGATATATGATCTTGGTCCAGCCAAATTCTCATATCATAATTTAGACGCTATTTTGTCTTCTTTTCTTGCCCCTTTTTATTACTTCATCTCATTAGCTTCTATCTCTGACCTAGTCCAAACAAATAACATTAATTATTCTATTTTTTTTGTTGGTAAAGGTTGACTAACAAAATTAAGATTGATAATTCATATAAGCTTGACAGGCTTCATCACATGGCGTGCCAATCAGTTGACAAGATTGGAGGTACATGGAAGTGAATCTGGGTAATTCACCCCAAATACTAGAATGCATGCCAAACAATCAGTTGACAAGATTAGGAGAATATATGCCAAAAAGTAGATGTGACATTGATTAGGCAATGAACCTTACAGATGCAGATGCAGTTATTTTGGATCTGTCAATAGATATAGCAATAAACCACAAGGCACGGAGAACGAGAAATCATGTAGACATCCCCAAATTTATAGGGAATAAGACTTTATATATTGTTTTCGTCTTAAATTTATATTTTGGTCGATCCCTGTTTAGTATTGGACTTTTCAAGTGAGTCTGAAAGAAATGGTGCTCAATTGCTTGGGTTTTTTTATTGGATGCCCCCTAAAGGACCATTTATTCTTGACCTTTTAGAGCAACACAAAGCCGTAGGACAGGTAGAGCCAATTTTCGTGCAGATAAGTTGCATCCCTTGACATGAGATTTTGCTTCCTTTCTTATATTATTAATCTGGTGTATTATATCAGGCATCCGGGACTAGAGAGTCCGGTAAGAACTTGGTTGGTTCGAAAGTTAAAGTCTGGTGGCCCAAAGATCGCATGTAAGTGCTTGTCTCGCAAGTTTTGTTGTATCATGTAGTTAATAATGCGAGGTCTCTCGTTTTATCGATTTCTCTGCTGCCTTTCTTTCTCCTTTTGCTTCAAGATTAAGACGCTCTTCATTTGGGCTGTCTCAGGTTGAAGTTGTGCCTTTGTTGTTTTTACTAAAAAGTAAAAAGAAAATTATCAGACTGCACTTGCAAATCAATAATCTTAAAAATTTCATTTTTCAACTGCCTGCTAGATTCTTAGGGTATTTCTTGCCCAGTAGTAATGGAAGAAATGTGATCTGCTTGTGATTGGTAATGGCACTTCGTTAATTTCAGGTTTTATGAAGGTATTATTGATTCTTTTGATTCTGTCAAAAAGATGCACAAGGTCAGTGTAATCTGCCAGGTTTTGCATTATAATAGCTTCTATTTCTTTTTCACTCAAAGTTTTTTTCTAGTATGAGTTATTGCTCTAATCCTTTATAGATATTGTACAATGATGGAGATGAAGAGAAATTAAATCTCAGAAAAGAACGGTGGGAATTTGTTGATAATAGTTCTGTGGTAGATGCGGTAAGTACCTTGTTCATTTAATTGCGGTACCTTGTGCTCATCGCTCTTCTATATCTTTGCTAAAAATTTTGTTGGCAGGGGCAACCAGTTGAATTTGCAAGTACTGATACTCCCTCTGAAATGTAAGTGTTGTATGTGACCCTCCACCATTCTCTTCCCCTCCACACTTCTTGTCACTGAAGTTGTTCAGAATTGCCTTATTTCATTTGACTGTGAAAGTTGAAGTATTAAGATAACTCTTCAAAGTTATTGTTAACTGAATCTAGATGGAGCTTGTGCAGTTGTTTTTTTCTTGTCCTTTCCTGAATAGCAGTCACCCTCAAGCATCATTATGGCTTCATCTAAGTTATGACTTGTTTGAACTGCAGATGAGTAACCCCATACATGTAATAAAAAGAGAAAATTGTAGCATTGGTCCCAACCTATTGACTTAGTGGCGAAGGGGTCCCCAATCTATTATTTTTGACATTAAAGTCCAAACTTATTATATTTGTAGCACTGTGGTCATCAATGGACAGAAACTGTCCAATTAATGGTAAAAAGGTTAACCTTTTATCTGAAAGATGATTCTACCCTTATTCTTAGTTAACAGAAAAAAATAAATTGGATGAAAACAATTTAAAAATAAGTAAACCAAAAGAATAGAAAGGGAGTTTCATCTTCCCCACCACCCATTGCAACCGAAAAAACCCCAAAGATCACAAAGGAACTGAGCCCGAACAGCTAGAGATGTGGTAGGAAAGATTTTGCTCAAATATGCCCAACAGACCTCATTTTTGAATCTTCGCATTTTTGAAGAGCAATAACAACAGAAAAGACCACACTGACCCATTTCTTTGATTCGAAACATCATTGCCATTTCCACAACTGTCCATGTCCTGTGTGTGTTTCCAACCGACTGGTCGTTTTCCTTCTACTCCCAACCCATCTCCAAGCTTGACTTGTTCCTCCCCAATCCATCTCCACTGCTCTGGCAGCAACCTCGGCTCAATTCACAGTAAACATCCACTCAATTCCATTCAATCCAATTAAAAAATGAACCAGAATCATAAGGAAATTGAGTTGGGTTATATCTTGCCTAATATGTGCATAAAAATTACATATGGGTTAAAAAAATAATGCCATTTAAACCAAAAGGTTCATACAAAATGGATAGAGTAATTATATGCTCGGCATATTATCCATAGACATAGAAGACACAATCTTTCAGTTCTAATGAAAATATCCTGTTTTCAGAGAGGAAATATCAGGAGTTTCAGATCGTCAAGGAGGTGGGTGGGGATGAGGTGAAGGGAGCAGTTGAGTGGGGCTTTTGGTGGCCTTTGGCAGGAAGTTGAAGGAGAAGTTACTGCCAGCAATGGGGAAGGGGGTGCAGTTGAGGTGAAATGGGTAGAAGGCAGTAATAGTCCTAATGGAGGTGGTTAGAAGGTTGGAAGAGACGAATTTATCTCTCATCATTTTGGTGGTTTGAAATTCTTGCCCCTGAATAGATGGAACGTGTGAGATCACGTGCTTATTTCATGGCATTTTGGACGGTTTTGGTTAGTTGAGGATGTGATGCTACAAAAATGATAGGTTGGGATCTGAATGTCAAAAAAATAATTGGGACCCATTTTCTACTTGGTCAATAGTTTGTGGGGACTAACGCTTCAAATTTCCCTAACAAAAATGAAAATGAAAATTTGTATTTTGAATTCTATGAGGTGATCACTGATGATAATTGATAAGCTTTTAATGATAATAAGCTTTCAAGTGTTACTTTATTGGGAACATCTTGGAAGATGGAATATGCATTGACCTTTGGCTTATGGAATATGACTGACGTTCTGCTGGTTTCAGAGAGAAAAAAAGATGAATTGTGACGGGTTTGTGGAGCTGTATTGTGTTGGTGTTCTTTTTTGTGGGTTAATAGAAAGGAGTAAATACATGGATTACCTTCAATAGTATTTGTTGGATGAAGTTGTAAAATAGCAGGACATTCGGCGATTTAGTTGCTTACAGTTTATATGTAGGTTCAAATCAGCTGCAGCCTTGAATTTGTTGGTTTTTTCATTTTAGTCATGGATGAACTTTCTTTGTTATGATAAGATGAATTCGGGATAACATTTCTTGGTAGTAGAAAGGCTGATTACTAGGCATTCAAGATTTTGTATTTCTTAGCTGATGTAGAAAAACAGGAGAATTGCATTTAAATTCTAACATTTAGACTTAATTTGGCTTGTTATTTATATGTAATGGATGTAATCCTATCTATTTCTAGAATTGTTCTTCTTTTCCTTTTTATCATTTAAAGTGTGGGAGGGATTAAATGTCTGATTGAGTTGTCATTCGCGGTCCTACTTGACCTATGAAGTCCTACAAATTTGACAGGAAAAATATGTGAATGGCAAATTGTATTGAATGACAGCCAACTAAGAACAAAAATTTAAACAAGACAAATGGGGTTTAAAGTGATAAAATTAACATAAATATGTGGAGGAACGAGAATATATAAACAGAGATCATATTTTTCACATGGTTGTGATATTCTCTATTAATATATTTCTGGCCATTGCACAACTACAGACCACTTCCATCTCTCTCTCTCTAATGATATTTTCTTCTCAAGAACATCATAATGTGGCTTGATGATCACTTGTGTCCCCTAAACTAAAATTTTTCAAACACCTCTTGGAAGGATGCGATTACTTTGATTTCAGTGGCTGATACTCTGCTTTCTTTCTATCAGGCAAACAAAGAAAGCTAAAATAAATCCTGAAGCATCAAGTAAAGATGGAAAGATGAAGCTTTCACATAAAAGGTTGGGCATTTTGTAGTCAATCTTTCGTAGTTTACATCTTTTGTTGAAGTACAACGGTGTTTTTCAAAATGATATGTGATGTATTTGCATCTTTCCAGTAAATTGAAAAACACGGGAACTTCAGGCCATAAATCTACGAATGCTGCCAAACCTGACCCTAAGGTTGACGATGAAACCTCAAGTTCTGGTGGTAAATCTGAAGATGATACCAGTGGTAAATCTAAAAATCTGTCTCAGAAACTGAGTGGTAAATCTGTTGATGATTCCCAAAAAGCATCAGGCAAATCTAAAGATGTTGATACATCTAAGATTTCTGGTCGTTCTAAGCAAGACAGACAAAAGACCCCCAATTCTAATGGTAAGGGCAACACAAAATCGAGTCTGCCGAAGTCGAAAGAAACTGATGGTATGAAGGAAAAAGCAACCGATTCTGGGAAAATGTCAGAAATCAAGAAGGGAAAATCGCAAGATAAATCCAAGGCACCAGAAAGCGATACAAATAGTGGAAAGAAGCGTAGAAGATCTTGAGCCTCTTTATGTTATTAATTTGTAATGGAGACTCTCATTGTAGTTTTCCTAGGGCTGGATGTCAAGTTAGACGTCCATGTCATAACTGTCTGACATGAACTGCATGCTACAATTTGTTGTTTTAGTTCTTTCAGTTTTTGATGCGGCAGGTATGTTTGGTAGGTGGAGTTTGTGCTAAATAGTATATTCTCTTCGTAAAATATTAATGGAAAATTTGAGTTAGGACCAAATTTTTTGTTAAAACAGTGCTCGACAGCTCGAGTGAAGCTTGTGGGTTTTAAATAGAGGTGTTAAATAGGTTGATCTTAGTCACTGAGCCAGCTTGTGCTCGCGTATGGAGCGAGTTAGCTTCTTGTCGAATATATGACTGTTCGCCCCATCATCTTGTAACTTGGTGGGGGCGAGGTGAGCCGGCTCGTGAGTGTCTCATGGCGCCTTTTTGGTTTTTTGGTGTGTGAGAAGGTGAATTCACTTTCGAATTTTAATGAAGTCGGAAAATTTTGAGGATAATTTTATAAAGTCAAAAAAATTATAAAGATGTAAATATCATCCTCTATTTGGACTTGAGATCGGCTACATGATATTTATGTGAAGTTAAAATGGTACATGAATTAATGTTATGTGTACAACAAAAAAAGTGAAATAACTGAAATTTGATAATGAATAAAGAAATGAAATATACTTGTAATGCTACCTTAGTTGTCTTCAATTGAACATCTGAAAAGATGTTGAAAGGCGACCTTCTTTTTCTTAGAACAACTAGTGAATACAAATATCTGCTTCTATATATTTGGATTGTAACATTGCTTCTATATATTTGGATTGTAACATTGTTCAAGCTACGTGGTGCATCTCGATATAACATATAATTTTTCATAGTAAATCTTACGTGTGTAAGTGTGTTGACAAAGCCTCGGGGGCAATGAACAAGTCTCGGGCCATATCGGATAATACCTAATATTGACATCGTTGTGCATTCCATCATTAAAGGAAGTTGACGAACTTCCACGAATGTCTCGTTTCGTGTAGGTGCTCCAAGCATACGAGTTTTTTTAGTTAAAATTGGATACGAATTACACAATTTTATAATTTTTATTTTTATTTTTTTTGTAGTGAGGATATATTTATATTAAAATAAAAATTTAAATTAGTTTGAGACGAAAATTGAACGTTGTAGCTACAAAAAAATAAAAATAATTGATACATGTCGAAAATATTTTTGAAAGTATTTTCCATCGTGACACATACTTGGAATAACGGAAAATCTTTCACCTCACATTGTAAGAAGGTTAAAAAAAAATTCAATAGAGGTTATAACATAATTTAAATTGAGGAAATAAGATTCATTTTGCATAGAAGACAATATATTTAATGGATTATAAGATAAAATGCATATATTCTACTCATCATGAGAAAACATCTTCCTTTTGAAATTGATGACAAAAAGTAATTATCTTGTTTATTTAACGAATCAACGTTCCAAAACTAGTATAACTTCGTTCAAAATCTATGTGAAAAAATGAATTTGAATTAATCAATATTGTTTTTCGGGAATACGAGGAAAATTACAGTAAGTCCCTGTTTGAGTCACATTAAAATTTTCATTTTCATTTTTCCACTCATTTTCAACCACACATTTTTCAATAAAATAATATTTTTCATCATATCAATAATTCTTCCTTCTTTTTCAACCACACATTATCCATCAATCTACTATTCCAAAATACATTTTTCCAAAATAATGTGGCTCAAACACAATTACGCCTTCATATTTTTGATTTCGTATTTCCAAATTTACCTAAATAACCTTCCAACGTATGAGTGAGATTGTATCATTTGATTGTAAAGAGTTAAAAGGTAACAGTAATATTCAAGCACTCTACGAGAACAAAAAGAAAAAAATAACTATAATAGATACCATAAAATACTATTATTAACCATACCTGGAGTACAAATTACATTAAATATTTTATTAATCAAATTTAAATGTTGTACATAATGTGCAATAATTGGTGCAACACGACATTAAAGTTCATTCGAATAATGTGTTTAATGGCAAATAGTTTCTGTTAGAATTTGGGTGTAACTCGAATTCTTAGTTGAAGTAATGGAAGAAATCTAATTGAAGTGCACATTAAGAAGAATTCAGTTTGGAATGCTATTGGAGTCCTAAATTAAGTTGCAATTTTATTTTGTAAGCCCATTGAGAGTTGTAATTTGTTTTGGACTCGATTTTTGGTATCTTACTTCATTAACAACTCAACTAGGAGGGTTTAGACATCCCTACATATTCCTTATAAATACTAGGCATTTCTATACAATTTTATGTTTTGAGAAAATATATTACTAGAATTATAGGATCTCTTGTAATTTTTCTCTTCTACATTATTCTTGAGTCAATAAAATCTTAATTTCTCTACCATATTCTCGTCTTTATTATTATTTTGCTTGATCATATACTTCTTTATTATTTGTCATATAACTTCAATATCTCAATCCGGTGGTTTGTTTCACAACAATTGGTATCAAAGTTATTCTGGTATTTTGGTTGTTTTCCAACAATTGGTATTAGAGTACCAGGTTCAGCGGTTCCGCAAGAGCGCAAGATTTGATTTGTTCGAGGTTTTTTTATTAATGATGGTTTCCATAAAGTATGACATTCCCCTTTTGGATCTGAGCACTAGATTTTTACTATAGCAGGTTAAGATGCGTGCAATATTCGTACAACTAGATTTGGATGATGCGTTGCTGGGAATTGATAAGAAACCCACAACTTTTACCGCGGAGGAGAAATTACTGAATGATAAGAATGCAATTTCTCACATTCATCTTCATCTATCAAATACCATTCTTCAGGATGTTTTAAAGGAGAATTCAACAGCTGCTTTATTGTTGAGGTTGGAGCAATTGTGCGTGACTAAAAGTCTGACAAACAAGTTGATCCTCAAGCAGAGTTTATACTCTCATCGAATGACAGAAAGAAGATCATTGGAAGATCACCTGACTGTATTTAAGGAGATCATCGTCGATTTGGAAACTTTGGAAGTAGAGTATGATGAAGAAGATTTGGCCTTGATCATATTGTGTTCGTTGCCCTTTTCGTTTTCTTCATTTAGAGACATGATCTTGTATAGTCGTGATACTCTCACCATAGAGAAAATATATGATGCACCGGTGGTTCTGGAAGGGACAAATCGAAATCTAAGTTCAATAATCAAATTTGTAACTACTGCAAGAAGAATGTTGTAAGTGGTGGTGTAACGCCCCAAAATTTCATATATCTTGAGGTGTTACCAAACATAATTTTCATGTATTTAAATGCGGAACTGTAAAATTCATTTCTTTCTAATAAACCAAACATTCATAATTTTAAATACAAATCATAAAATCGTGTCTTCGAAAAACAACTTAAACATTAATAAATTTGCTAAATAATGTTATTGGGCAAATCAAACTAATAATGAACTTTAAAAGGAAAGAAGCAAAACTTAATATTATTCTCGTAGGTGGAAATTCATTGGCAGTCCGCTGCACCATCCCGCCACAGATCCAATCGACCCAAACTAGCCTGTAAAAATTGTAAGAGTGAGTATTTTGAAAACACTCAGTAAGATACGTGCAGTTTCCATATGCAGTTACATAACAATAACATAGACAATTCATACCATTCTTCACATTTCTCATTTATGGAGTATATCGGTGGCCAATCGAGATACCCATCTCTTCACATTTCTCATTTCGTTACGTCGACCCGAAGGTCCATTGGCAATACATGCATAAATTATTGAACATAAAAACATAAGGAAACAAAACAACTTGCACAAAAAGTATCTTACCTCGATTGATGAAAAGAGCT